CCAGAAAATACCATAACAACCAGTCTGGAACCGTGCATAGAAGAAAAGCCAGCCTGAGATACAACCTACTGGAAAGAGCTGAGGAAGAGCCCCAGTGGGGGGAGCAGTGGGGTCCAGGAGAGGCAGAAGCAGACCTGGACAAACAAGTATCTAAGGGACAAGTGACAATGAGCACTGAGTTCACTTGCCTCATACCTGCTGACCTTTAAACAGTAAGGAGTGCAAAGTTGGCACTGGTATTGCAGCAGCCTTGAGACTCTGCAAAACTCTTTGCAGCCCTGTCCTGGATGCAGGGAATGGCACCTGTAGGACACCTGCCTTGTGCCCTGGCTCCATGTGCACCATCTGCTTGGGAAAGACCAGGGTGGAGACCCACAAACCGCCTGGACTCAACCCCCCTGGCCTTCATGGCAGAACTGTAGTTGAGCTGTTTGGGGATTGCTGTGAGCAGCTTGGGCAGTGCTTTGCCTGGACAATCCCTAGGACAGCTCTGTTCACCCGTGATAAGAGCAAGAGCCCTGCACAGGCAGGAGGAGAGGCCCCTTATCTGCTAAAGTCACTGCAGGCTGCTGCCATGGCTTTGCCTTCCTACTGGGGAAACTGCAGGATTAATTTTCCCTTGAAGCCTTCACAGAGAGCCTGGTGCCTTTCTGAAAGACACTTTTCAGCCAGTAAGACATTTTTGGCTTGAGTGCAGTATCTGAAGTTATACTGTCTATGCAGTACAAGCAGGTGGGGTAGATAAAGCCATGATCCCTCTACCCTTGAAATTATTTCATACACTTCTCTGACCCCTGCAGCAACAGCTGTCAAATGCCTTTGGCTCTGTGCAGCTATTGGGCCTCATCCTGTCCCATCCTGCACAGAGCAGCTTCAGCATGTGCCTGGGCTAGGGATGAGACCCAAGGGCTTCTCCTCCCTTGGAGCTCAACCAGCTTCCAATAGGGCTGGGGTGCAGGCAGCAGCACGTGCCTGTATGTCTAGGTATGGGGGCGACAGAGATGGTTCCTCCTCAGTTGCTATTTCCAGTGGATGAAGTCACCAGGCTGCAGTGCCTGAGCTCAGCCAGGGGTGAGTCAGTGCCAGCCCAGCCACAGCACTGACTGCAGCCCCAGGCTGACAGGGCAGCGCTGTGATGGCCACGGCCTCAGCACCATGCAGTGCAAAGGGCTGAATTCAACAGATTTGGGATGGGCAGCCCAGTGTCAGGGTCAGCCCAGCCCCACCAGAGCACCCTGGGCTCAGCTCTTCCTCTTCAGTCCCACCACCAGATCCAGGCAGCACCAAGGAGATGCTTTTCAGAGCCACCTCAGAGTTTGTCCTAAAAGCCATTTCCCTT